CACATAATCTCTCTCAGCCATGGCCACGCCTTCCATGGCCATTACTCTCAATTCCAATACTATCCCTATTAAACAGGAACACCAACACTCATCACCTCCGCCTCCACAACAACCACCAGTTGTCAAAACTGACCCACCGGATCTCGTAATCGAAATAGCACAGCAATCACATTCAACACCCAAAGAACCTCAATTCTTGAAATCAATTAACGACCTGACCAATTTATCTGCCGCAATTGATGCTTTTAAACGGCGGTACGATGAGTTGCAGAATCACCTCAATTTCATCGACAACGCAATTACCGCCCGCTCCAAGGAACTCGAACAAAAGACGCAACGACTGCAACAAACTCAAACAGAAAAAGCAAAAACGCCGTCGCCGGAAATTGTAGCTGAAATGACAAAAGTAACGGAAACTGAAACCGCTGCTGCGGCAGCACCAGCAACGGAAAAACCGGAAATAAGGAGCTTGTGTCAAATGATGTGTGGAAGAGGGTTGCGGAAATATATAGTTTCGAATCTAGCCAATGCGGAGAAGCTTCGAGAAGAAGTTCCGGCAGCGTTAAAATGTGCACCGAAGCCGGCTAAATTAGTGTTAGATTGTATAGGGAGGTTTTATTTACAAGGTAGTAAAGCTTATGAGAAAGAGTCTCCAATGATTACAGGGAGAGAAGCGTCGATTTTGGTTTTGGAATTTTTTTTGTTGATTAGTGATCATGAGAATGCAATGGAGGCTGCGGTGAAGAAAGAGGCGGAGCAGGTGGCTGTAGCGTGGAGAAAGAGATTGATTAGTGAAGGTGGTGTGAGGAATAGCGGCGAGATTGATGCCAAGGGTTTGCTGTTGTTAATTGGAGGGTTTGGGATACCGAAGTTGTTTAGTGATGAGGATGTTTTTGATTTGGTTAAGTTGAGTAATTCAAGGCAGTTCGCTGATTTGGTTCGAAGATCGCGGTATCTTGTTACTAGGGTTACTGGTATTTGTTCTTGGTGCTAGTAGTAGTAGATGCTTTAATTTTCATTTAGTTGAAGATTGTTTTTTGCTAAGTTAATTGTAGAAATGGGATGCAAATATGTGTAGGAATGTGATGGAAAGGAAAATATACCCAATTTCTTATTCATAAAAACGGAGAATTATGGATAGGATAGGTGGGTAGGAAATTCTTTATATTATGGAAGAGGAAAAGGGAAAGAAAGGAACTTGAAAACTATTATGCTACATTTTAAATGCTACATGCTTTGATCAAACTTTTTCCTTTCAAAATTTCCGTTGTTAAAGATGGACCGTCATTTGTTGTGCTTTTATTTTATGATCAATGGAGCATATGTATGATGAACTGGACTCTAAATTTAGTATGGAGCACAGTTGGTGGTTCCTCTAAAGTTTGTTGTGTTTATAGTTCATAAGCTCATAAAGAGATGAATTTGTTTTTTTGTTTTTTTACTAAACACTATGAGATCTATGCGGAGGGATTTTAGACATTTTATGTAGACTATTGGTTGCTAGTTGCTTATATTGATTCTAAACGCAGCAGAAAATAATTCTTTAAAACAATCACTGAAAGGGCTAGATTAAGGTGTGATTCCATGATGAACTTAGTTTATGAATGTTTACCGTTGCTGCCTTACAGTTACCATTGGAAATCATGATAGTCAATGCTTTAATTCAAACTGCTTAGAGTAGCAGGTCCGTCTCTTTTGAGAGAATCTCATACCATGACAGATCGCAGAGACAATCTTCATTAGATTCTTTTTGCATCATTATCTGGAGGTTGCAGCCCTATCTAATTTCTGCTACTTTTCCATGGTAGTGGAATGTGAGAGAACTGAATTACAATTTATTAACAAATGTTCTTATGAAATTAGTTTCAAGAGCATGCTTATAATTAATCATCATACGTGCAAGTTAATATTTGCTTATAATCAAGCCTCGTGGAAGTGTTTCTTTTATCAGGGCATAGCTTTTTTTTCACCCTGTTATGGTGATAAGAAAAATGTTCTGAACCTTAGTGTAAATTTTCACAGCTTCATTTTCTTGTCTTGAAATATTTGGAAGCAAATGAAGCAGGCAAGTAATATTAACAACTAACTCTAAAACTTCACTTTCCACTCTCAATATATAAATGCTGTTTGAAATGGCCTTTTGACTTAGGGGTGGAACATAATGAGAGGATTCAATGGCTCGATGTAAAGTGACTTGCAAGATATGTGTCAATCTTTTCATTATGTACCGGAGAAGGTAGATTTCATTTTCTATGTGCTGGGTTCTGCAAATCTGCAGCATTACTTTCTTCTAAGAGGCATGTATCTGGAGAGTAAGAGTGCTGCCTGTTTAGCATCACCAGTGTTGATCATGAGGGACTGGAGGATGAATTCATGTTTCTGAGAATTGGGGAATGTAGTCTTACTTTTTGATACTTGTCTAGGGTATCCATTTGTTTGTATGTGATTGCCATTTTGTTCCGAATTCCAAGAAGTTAAATTTGATCTTATTTGACCATCTGTAAGCATTGTCTATTATCATGCATGGTCTCTTTCTTTTATTTTTTAGATTTTTTTCCAACACCATGCACGAACTTATGCCATACTATTTTCGACTACTGCAGATATCATAGAGGGAATGATGAAGAAAGGAATGAAAATTGAAGCCGTTGATGTGGCTTGTATATTTGGAATCGAGGACAAGTTTCCTGCTCAGAAACTATTGACTTTAATTTTGCAAGAGTCTAGAGAACCATTGAAGGGTAGAAAAAGAAAAGCAAATAATTCACCTGCAATACAGTTAGAGGTGATTTTGCGCTTTAAGTTTAAAATCACCATCCTCTTTGCTTTGCTAATAGTGCATGGCATATCGTTAATTTTATTTAATTTTTTTACAGAAAGAGGCAAAGGAAAAGCAATTGATTGCTCTGAAATCTGTGGTGAAGTTTCTTGAAGAACACCAGCTTGACCCCACAAAGCTTCTTCCTGGTTGGCAACTTGAAGAAAAGACAACAGAGCTGGAGAAAGATATTGCTGATCTGAATAAAAAAATAGGCAAGCTGCCTTTGTCAAAGAGACCGGAAAATGTGAATGAGGTGACAAATTACTGGAAGAGTCAAGAAATAAAACGTCGACGACTTGCAGAGAAAGGTTCACCCCTGATCTCTCCAGGTGTGAGGTTGCCTGATCAAATAGCTGCTAGCTATATGAATGGACAGAGCTCATATAACAGTGTGATGCGGCTGAATGGTGGATTCCCTGGTCATGTCAACAACTATCCTGCTGGCACATCTGCTATGTATGGATCTAGTATAGGGCCTTTTCCTGAAAATGTTCTGGGCACATCAGCAAGTGGAATTGGTCTGTCAGCCGCATATGGTGGATCTGCTGGAGTTCACAGGGATATGCTAGTTGATGGGACAAGGCAGATAAAAGGTGGCAATGTTCCACAATATGCATGGCATAGGGCTGGGGATACTGCCCTAAATGATGGGTCAGTGGGACATTGGCATCCTGCATCTGGTTTGTTTGGACAATCATCATCAATAGAAGGCTTTGCAGGTTTGCTGAATTCCCCACCTGCTGTTGCTGCTAATGGAAGCTCAGCCTCAGACCTGTACGGGTTTGCTGATGCTCCCTCTCTCGCTGCTAAGCAGGGTGCAGCCTCTGATCTTTATGGGTTTGCTGATGCTCCTGTCGCAGCTAATCAGACTGCAGCCTCCAATCTCTACAGGATCCCTGATGCAGTTGCATATGGCAGTACTCGGCATACTGGTCCATTGCCTCGTGGCTTGGGATCCCACCATTCATCTTACATGCGTTAAATAAGTTCAGATCTTTTCGTCACTTTAAGTTATACATGACATCTAACTTTATTTACTGCAAAATTCGGTGGAAACATGGTATCTAAGTTGCTACAGGGGAGCTCAGGATGTTAGTCTCTATCATTGCCTTGGGTTTTGGCTGTAAAGCGAATACAAACCTTCGCAATAAAAATGGATGTAAATAATGAGTCTGTCTTCATGTAGACTACGCCCTTCTTTCTCAACGCAGCAGTTCATTCTGCAAGTGCTACAATTCTTAACTTGCGCAGCCTGGGCTTTCTTATTAAAATCATATGTTTGCATTAATCAACTGATGTCTCTCACAGCTAATTACTTGAGACATAGTGTAGTGGACTCCGCCATCTATCTTCTTCATAAATGGATGTCTATGCTTGGTCAAAGTAGACTTCCAGCAACACATTATGATTGTGAATGCTCACATCGGCGTTCCAGTTGATTGCGAAGCATTGAAGTTTGAAATCGTGAACCCAACAATCTGGATTGTTGGCATCATTGGAAACTTAAAAAAAAAAATATTGTGGAAAAGAAAAGGAAGCCAAAAACCATCAGCAGCTACATAATGATGGCAGCAATTTAGATGGTTTGATGGAAGGTTTTGAGCAGCTATTTTCAAACCAAGAGAATAAAATTCAGGCTCAAACCGAAGAGACAAGAGGAAAGTAATAGAAAGGAAAATCCAGATTTCACTCTCGAAGGAAAGAAAAAGAATCAAATTCAGACTCAAATTAAATGGAAGGAGGGGAATTTATAGGGAGAATGATGAAGCACTCTATGACAATTGAACTGTACATGGCTAATATTGGAAAGCTAATTTGTCCCATCTTTATTATTGCTTACTTGTAAAAATATCTGGCTTTGTAAAACATAAAAATTATGTTATTAAATTTGTGTCTAGATAGATTTTTAACAATTCTGATTCATCATTTTAAAAAATTTTATGCAATGGGAAACAGGATTGATCCAACAGCATCCCATGAACTGGCATGAATTTTATGCATTGCTAAATGTTTGTGTTCCAAAAATATAGACAGATTCTCCTTCAGCTTAAGGCCTTTTGGATCGAGGGAGAAATTTGCCATGCTTGAATAGAAGACAGGCAAGGCATGATACAACCAAATATAAGTGGCACCAAGAGTATGATTTAGAAGATAACACTGCTAGGATAAAAGACGTATATTTTCTTCCTTGTTTAGCATCCTAAAGAGAATAAAGGTTGAGGCAGCATTTCTGATTCATTTTTTAGCATCCTAAAGAGAATGAAGGTTGAGGCAGCATTTCTGACATTAGCCCTTGGGTTCATTTCAGTGAACTTTGCTGGCTTCTGCTTTGGTGCACTGCAAGTGGGATTTTACAGAGGAAAATGTGGATTTGCAGATGTTGAGGCTATAGTGGCTGGAGTTATTACTGCTCAGTTCTTCAGGGATCCTTCAACTGTGGCTGCCCTCTTACGCTTGCAGTTCCATGACTGCTTTGTCAATGTAAGCTTACATTTCTGCATATTTTCGCCCAGGAATTAGGAACTCTTAATTCTGTTTGCATCTAATAATTTTAGGCTTAACCAACCTGCTATAATCCCTCCACGATCAACACAGCTAGAAGCATGGATGACGCATTGGTTTGGTTGGCAAGCAAGTTTTGTGTGCACTTCTCTTCAGTTTAAGCACATGCTAGTTTCTGCTATTTTATGCATGACTCATATTTTGCACTAATATTAACAATAAACAAAAATAATAGTAATGTTCTAATATTCCGAGTTAATAACATGGAAGTTTTCAGAATTTTTCCCAAACGTTAGCTTGCTAAGAATTTTGGTATCTGTTCATTGATGCGTAGTGTTTGCATCGTCGATCGAGAGAGACGTAATTATTGAACTGATTAACTATTTATTGGTGGAAATGATGATGATGAAAAAGGGGTGTGATGGATCAATACTAGTAGATGGAAGCAACAGTGAGAAAACAGCAATACCGAATTTGAGTGTGAGGGGATATGACATTATAGACCAAGCAAAGGCTGCTGTGGAAAATGCTTGCCCTAGTGTGGTCTCCTGTGCTGATCTCATTGCAATAGCTACAAGAGATGTTGTTTTCTTGGTAATTGAGTCTCTCTCTTTGTTACAGTTTGTGATTGTTCAGAAAATCCAAATTGAGTTAACTAGTGATTCCTGTCCAGAGTGGTGGAGGGAGATACGATGTTCAAACAGGAAGAAGGGATGGTTTAATCTCTGAAGCTAAAAATGTGAGCCTGCCAGGTCCTGCAATATCAGTGCCCGAGGCCATTGCAGCATTTTCTGATAAAGGTCTCACTGCTACAGAAATGGTGCTCCTACTAGGTGCTCATTCTGTTGGGATTGCACATTGCTCATTCATCAAAGACCGTCTTTTCAACTTTGAAAACACTGGCAGACCTGATCCATCCATGGATCCTTTCCTAGAAAACATTCTGAGATCAAGGTGCCCTCCATTTGCCAAAGTAGACAACTCGGTGAACCTCGATCAAAACTCATTTAGCCCCTTTACAATAAGCAATACTTACTATCAGACTGTGATGCTGCATAAAGGCATTCTCCAAATCGACCAAGATTTAGGAACTGACCCCTTGACAATGCCTGTAGTGAAAAACCTGGCTAATGCGTTTGATTTCCCTGCGAGGTTTGGTGCTGCCATGGTTAAGCTGGGAGCTATAGGGGTTCTGACTGGCACACAAGGAGAAGTTAGGAGATCTTGCAGGGCCACTAATAGGTAGTAGAAATTTACTCAAGTTTAGCACTGGCATTACAGAAAGTGGGCAGTCATGTTTACTTCTTTATGATTGTTTAAACACGAGTTCAGATTTTATGCTGTTTCAACTTTCAAGATGATTATCGGTTTTTATCAGTGTCCCCGAGTAAAAAAATCTCATTCAGCAGCTCTTGTATAGTCTTTCAGTTTAATCGACTGTCAGTAATTTAAGAAAAGCCAGTCATGATCAAATTATCATTTTTTTTTTCCAATTACATGTTAAAATATATTCATCATCTTTCCGATAACATTCATTATTTGCTGTTCTAAAAAAATTCATTAATCGGCACCTGCCCAGATAGCTTCGTCAATTCATAGTGACGTTACTAAAATCCCATATTAAGCCATCATTTTTTCCCCTCAAAATAAACAAACAAGTCTCATTTTTTTTAGACAATTTAAGAATTTGCGAAGTATTTTTTTTAAAAAATATTTTTTAACATTAATTCATAAAAGCTATTAAATAATATAATAATAATAATTTAATATTTTTTGAGGTAAAATATATTTCAAAAAAGAATTAAAAAAATATATTCAACAAAAAAAGAAACACTTTCTAGAGTGGTGTGATATCCATGGATTGTTAAAAAAACAATAGGGTGTTGATATATAAGGACGCCCTCAGGAAAGATGAATGGGTCAACATCGGTCCAATCCTCATAGCCCCTTTAGTGAACAGCCTTGACCCCGCCCGGCCCGGACCGACTCCTACAATTGGCGCCTTGAACCAACAGAATAACTGACACCAACCTTCAACGGTCACAGCGATTTTGGCTTTTTGGAGGGAAGAGACCATCATCCTTCTCTTCAATGTCTATATTCACTCTCTTCACTTTCCTTTTCTTTTAATTATACTGAACAAGAATTCTCCGGGAATTCAAGAAATTGGTCTTCTGTACTGTGATTTCTCTCTCAAAAAATGGATCAAAGCAAGAAGAGAGTAGTTCAACTTCAACCAGATTGGTACTCTCCAAGAAGATTACATGATAGCCCCACTCAATACGAATTTCCAGTACAAAACTCTCTCCCTCACTCTTCTTTTATCATGAACTTTTGAGTCTTGAATGCCCTTTTATTTTACAAAGAATTTCTTGGTTATTCTGATTTTACTGTTTTCTTGTTTCTTGTTTTTGTATGTGTGCGTAGGGCGATAGGTTTATACCAAACAGGAGTTTAATGAATCTTGATCAAGCCCACTGTTTGTTGACAAACAAAATCAAAGAAATACACAATCCTAATTTCGGTGTAAGTCTCCTCCTTCTATGCCAATTGGGAAATTGGTTTTGTTTGTTTTGATTAAATTCATTACTGGGTTAAGATTATCAGGGTTCTGGGGTTAATTGCCTTCAGATTTTTTTTCTGTTTTTTGGGCTTGCTAATCACTTTTTGGGTGTTTATGGTTACTATTTTGTTTTGATCTGTGGCATGAAGAGTTTGTGAGAACTAGAAATTTTCGTGTGAACATATGGATTCTGGGTTTTCTTGATTGTAAACTGGAATCTCCAAATGTGTTTGTCTTTGAGGCAGAAAGGATACAGAGAAATGTTGAGGGAAAGTCTAACTTTGGACTCAGAAGGGAGACCATTTAGGATGTTGGTTTTTAGAGGAAGTCCAAAATCTCGGAGAAAGTGGAATTATGTTATTGATGAGATGAGAAGAGATATTGATGCAGAGGTATTGAGTAATGGAATCAAGCAACATGAATCTCGCCACTTGCCTACGGTAAGTACTGGCTTTGTTTTCTTTGAATTTGATCAATTAGAACATTGCACTGATGACAGTAACTATTAGTAGAGTTGAACAATCATGTCATGATATATACTTGGAAAATATGTTATGAAGTCATTTACGTTGTTTGAGGGCATATGCAGAAAGAAGTTAAGGTTCTGGACGCACCAAAAATAAAAGATGACTACTATGTGAACCTCATGGATTGGGGAAAGAACAATGTTCTTGCTGTCGCGTTGGGGTCGGCACTATACTTATGGAACGCAGAGAACCAAGAGGTAAAGAAGCTTTTGGAAGTTCAAGGTCACAATGACTACCCAACAAGTGTAGCCTGGTCAGAGAAAGCCACAAGTTTGGCAATTGGATGCATGAAATCCAAACTTCAAATCTGGGATCCCGAGACTTCCAAATGTGTAAGTTTTCTGTGTTTTGTTTAGATTTGAAAATCTTTCTGGAACTTGAATTTCTTATGGTAACATCATTATTTTTACAACTCACAGATTAGAAGCTTGGGAGGTCATCAGAGCAGGATAGCAGCCATTGCCTGGAATGGTCATACTCTAACAACAGGAAGCCGCGACAGATCCATTATTAATCATGACGGTTGTTAGGCTACTCTAATTCGCTTTTTTTCTTTTTGTACTTACCATTACTTCTCGACACAGTGAGGTGGTTTTAACTTTCCAGTTTCCTTATATCTGCAAATTCGTTGACAGTAAGAGTGAGAAACAGCCCAACTTCACGCATACAAGCACACACCGAAGAAGTATGTGGTTTGAAATGGTCCAGTGAAGGTAACGTACTGGCAAGTGGAGGAAATGAAAGCTTTATATACATATGGGAAGCTTCTAAAATGAGCTCTTCGAACTTCTTGCATCGATTCAATGCCCATAATCAAGCTGCAGTCAAAGCACTTGCTTGGTGTCCCTATCAATTCAATGTACTGGCCTCGGGAGGAGGTACAGGAGACGGATGTATTAAGATATGGAATATGAAAGGAGGGACTTGTACTCATAGCATTGAAACCAAAGCACAGGCAAGTTATGCTTCCTGGGAGCTTTTGATTATGCATCAGATTTTCAACTGTTGGCCATCAAGCAGAAAAGATTATTTCATGCACTTATATTTGAATCATGAAGATGATTTTAAGTTAGCATTGATGATTTGATGTTGAATTGTTCAGATATGCGGGCTGGAATGGAACAGACATCACAAGGAGATACTAAGTGGCCACGGCTATGGCAATTCCGAAGTTCAAAACCATCTATGCTTGTGGAAGTACCCTTCCATGACTAAAGTGGGAGAAATAAATCGTCATGAACGCAGGGTCATCAGCCTTTCTCAGGTTTGAATTACCTAAGACCTTATCCGTTTAAGTTGAAATTGCTGCAAAATTTATTCTTGTAGCTGAACACCTCCTGGACCTTAACAATTGGTTTGTTGCAGAGTCCTGATGGATTAACTGTGGTATCAGCTGGAGGGGATGAGACTCTTCGCTTCTGGGAGATCTTTGGACCACCTCGTGTTGGAAACTCTGCCTCAGATTTTGAAAACCTTTTGTCTTTCAAAACATCCCTCGTAAGATGATTGCAAGTGGAACAGTTGTTTCATTGTTTGGTACAAGCTAGCTTCCTCCTTTGCTTTTAATTTATTCTGTTAGCGTACAGATTTATAATGCACAGTTGTAGCTACAAATGTTATATACAAGAAAAATACAAGTAACCCCCCACGTTTTGATAACAGAAGTGAACTGATGCTATTTTCCATGCAAAAGATGAAACATTTTTTGTGATTGATCATATCATAATCTACATGCCGTTGATTCTTTACTCATTTTTATCAGAAACAGTTTGGACCAAAACTAAAATTGTATGCTTGTGGTGAAAAGGCATTAATGTTCAAGCAGCTATGCGTGCATTGGCGTTCATCTACATGCATTGATAACACCGTTTTTACATGATCAATATCATCTTATATTTCTGCAAATGAAACAGATCAAGAAACTAAGGCATCGATGCTTACATAATAATCCCAAACCAGGGGATTCACTGCATAGGGACTCTTGACCACTTCAGGCCTTTTATCCTCCTCTGATGGACAAGGATATACAGCATTTCCAACATAAGTCTATTTTCTTTGTCTTGAGATAATAAAAGAAAATATATATTACTCTTTCTTTCACTAGTATAAACAAGCAATTTGGAACAATAAGGTTGTAATGTTGAAACAAATTAGTGGGAACTTTCTACAATTAGATCTCTAATTCCTATCCAAAAAGAAAAGTATGTTTAATTTACTAACTAATGAAAGGTGTTCGATAGCAATGGTTTTATGTTTTTCATTTATTTTTCAAATAAATAACAAATAATAAAACATAAAATGCTTCTAAAATTCCCTATGAAAAAAGGGTGAATGGTATTATGTTTCCTAATTTGTTTTTCAGATTTTTAGACATTTCTCTCCCTTTGAGAAATAATTGAATACTTTTATTTTAGTTTAAAAATTTTGTATAAAAATACATTTAAACAGGTAAAAAATAATAAAATTTTAAAAACAAAACATTCATCATCACATCTACAAAATTAATTTTAAGAACAAAACATTCACCATCACATCTACAAAATTTTCATCACTATAAAATATTTAAACAAGTAAGTACTATCAATTCAATGTACTGGCCTCGGGAGGAGGCACAGGTGATGGATGTATTAAGACATCATAGCATTGAAACCAAAGCACGGGCACGTTATGCTTTGTCGGAGATTTTGATACTGCGTCAGATTTTCAACTGTCGGCCATCAAGCAGAAAAGATTAATTCATGCACCAATTTCAAAAACAATTGCCAAAACAATCATGTCAGGTTATTGATTGAAAAAAAATCCAGGAGAATAGTTGAAGAAAAGCACCAATTTCAAAAACTAATGCTTTTTGGAAATCACTAAATTAAATTGAATTAGAAATTTTTAATAATATCTCATATTTAAAAAAAATTTAGTGTTAAGAATTAAATTTTAATTAGGATTCAATCCCTAAAATTATACCAAAGTAAATTAGATATTAACCCCTCTGATTTATAATTTCAAATAGAAAAAAATTAATGTTAAAATTATTTTTTTTCAAAATACCTATCTTTTTTGTTTTACAGAACTTTGAAGAAATAAGATTAAGATGAAGGTGACGAGGGTATATGAATCATGAAGATGATTTTAATTTGGCATTGATGATTTGATGTTGTGTTCAGATATGTGGACTGGAATGGAACATACATCAGGAGATACTAGGTGGCCACGGCCATGGCGATTCCAGAGTCCAAAACCATCTATGCTTGTGGAAGTACCCTTCCATTACTAAGACCTTAACCGTTAAGTTGAAATTGCTGGAAAATTTATTTTTATAGCTGAGAACTTCCTTGACCTTGTCAATTGGTTTGTTGCTGAGTCCTGATGGATTAACAGTTGCATCAGCTGGAAGATGAGACTCTTCGCTTCTGGGAGATTTTTGGACCACCTCGTGTTGAAAACTCTGCATCAAATTTTGAAAAGCTTGTCTTTCAAAACATCCTTCGTAAGATGATTGCAGGTGGAACAGTTGTTTCATTGTTTGATGCAAGCTTGCTTCCTCCTCTGCTTTCAAGTTATTGTGTTAGTGTACAGATTTTTGAGCGCACAGGTATCCATTTCCTTTCATCTGGGTAATCAGATTCGTTGTACTGCTACAGATGTTGTATACAAGAAAAATACAAGCAACCCCCCATTTTCTGATAACAAGAGTGAATTGATGATATTTTCCATGCAAAAGATGAACCATTTTTGTGATTGATCATATCATAATCTACATGCCGTTGATTCTTTACATATTTTTACCAGCAACAGTTTGGATAAAGAATGCCTCATGTTACCAGCAACAGTTTGGATAAAGAATGCCGTATACGGAACAAAACTAAAATTGCATGGTTATGGTTAAAAGACATTAATGTTCAAGCTGGTTAACACCATGTTACCATGGGTTCACATAGCACGACATATAGTTGGAAAGGATCTATTATATTTGAGACTCTCTGAGGTCCCATACATAGTGAGTACAGACTACTAACCCAAAAATTCTGTGTAGGTTGTCTTGAATGCATAGGAACTGCCTAACAGATAGTTTACCTTGAAAATAACAGTACTTGAAATATACATTTCCTTGTTTCCCATGTTGATATGGATACATGTTTGAAGTCTATCCTGCTCAAACTAACCTCTTTATCACCTTCAAAGACAACGAAGGACGTGACAAGCCTCAACAATTTCCCGCATATAATAACTGCAAAACAGTATGAAGTCAATCAGTCTCAGAATCGTCAGCAACCCCATCTATGAAAATCTCTGCAGGTTCTTTGTCTGCAAAGTTTCCCTCCTCTTCCTCTTTTCTCTTTCTTGCTTCTTCTATTTCTCTCTCAGCAGCTCGAGCCCTTGCAACTTCAAGTCTCGCACTAACTGCATCCCATGACACCAGCCTTTCCATAAAAATTGATATATAATCAGGTCGTCGATTCTACATGAAGAAACAACACATGATCACTAATCAAATGATTTAACGATGGACTAAGATGGAAAGCAAACTTAAACGGATGATTTATTACAATGAACATCACCTGAAAGTCCAGGTAGTATGCATGCTGTTGAAAGAAAGCAAAATTGCAATGCCAAATCAGTGGTCAGTACAAATCAAAATTATTCTATAAAAGAAAATCAACATGGGAATAATTGAATGAACAACAGAGTTATCGAATACCTCCCAAACATCAATTGTAAGGAGTGGCTGCAAGAAATAACCAACAGCATCAGATGAATAAACCAAACACAAACATCATAAGTGATTGGTAATGTTTCCTTTTACATGATCAATATCATCTTATATTTCTGCAAATGAAACAAATCAATACTTACATAATAATCCCAAACAAGGGGATTCACGGCATTTGGACTCTTGACCACTACAAGCTTTTTATCCTCCTCTGATGGACAAGGATTTACAGCATTTCCAACATCAAGTCTATTTGCTTTGTCTAGAGAGATTAACATACAAGATATATTACTCTTACTTTCGGTGGTATAAACAAGCCAGTTATATTTACTCAAAAGAGTAATAGTAGGAAATATAATTGCTGTCATAGGGAAAGATCACTTACATATTAGCCAAGCCCATCCAGAACCAAACTGAGTAGCTGCAGCCGACTTGAACTCTTCAACAAATTTATCAAAAGAACCAAAATCTCTTTCCATCAATTGAAGAAGTTCCCCTGATGGCTTTCCTCCCCCTCCCGGTTTCATGGATTCCCAAAAGAATTCGTGGTTCCAGGCCTGAATCCAGATTAAAAACAAAAATAAAAAAATGCTTAGAAGACCCAAAAATCAAAGTTCACAACAAAAAAGTGAACCTGTATGCATGGGATGCTTTATGATACCTGTGCAGCGTTGTTGAAAGCAGGAAGTGGATCACCCTTGTTGTATGTAATAAGCACAACATCATCTAACGACATGTCATCTAGCTCTGTTCCTTCAATTTGCTTGTTCAAGTTATTCACATAAGCCCTGTGATGCTTTCCCCAGTGATACTCAAATGTGTCTTTGCTCATTTGCGGCTCTAATGCATTCTGTCAAATAATAAAAATCCAAGCCCTTTATCTCACTCACTACCAAGTAACTTAATTTCTTGAAAAAGAAATTGCTTTGTTTCAAATCTTACCATGGGATATGGAGGAGGTTTCAGCTCAAATTTAGCTGTAACTGTCAAAGCACTTGCCTTTCTGGTACATTGCCTCTGCAACATAGAAAATAAGTGCAAAGTTCAGTCCCTTTAACTTGCCAACTTAATGAGCATTTCGTCGAACATCATAAGCGCACAAAATGCGAGGCTAATTACAGTAGCATTAAATGTTCTGATTGGCTGTCCGTGTAATAGTGGCAACCTCGACAATGCACACATTGTCAGTATGGATGCCTTAAAGCAGAGGAATAAACACATATATGCAGGTTATTAGATAGGCAAACTGAACTACCTTTGTCCATTGCAGCCCACTAGTTGTTCCTCTAAGACCTGAAATGCCAGAAAACACCATGAGTAGAGAAAGCAAGAAAAGGGAGAGTGGGTGAAGGAAAATAAAAGATGGGTTTGCATCAATTTGGGACCTTGGCTTGGAAATAGTGAGCATGTAAGTGGATTAGCTGTAGTCGCTGTTGCTGCTGCTGCAACCATTTTTTTTCCTCTCTGTCAGTTTCTCTTTCCTCACAATTTTGAACTTTAAGCTTCGATACTAGAAACGCGAGAATGTTAAAATACTAGAGAAGATTGGATATGGACCCTTGATTTTGCCACAGCACCAATTTGGATGTTAGATCTATGCCCTTGATTTTGCCAGGTAAGATTGGACTTGTGCCGAGCTCAAAGTACTTCCTGGCAGTACTCAGGATAGTACCTGTCAGTATAGTACAAATTTCGGTAGGATAGATGGATTTTAAATGATGTGATTAGGTTTCACCAAAAAAAACAAAAAAGATGATGTGATTAAGACTCAAAAAAGGATCGCAACGATAAACCTCCGCAGGTTGGTTTTGAATTTTTATTTTTATTTTTATTTTTTTATCCTCTATTTGGTTTTCTGCCTGTGGAGATGTCAGAAGAAGCTGTCAAGATTTTCTAGCAAGCATTACATTATATTTGTTCAGATTACCAGCAGAAGGTGATTTGCAGATAGGTACCTAATTGATTGTACGTCAGAGTATCCCTCAAAAGGGGGGGAATGGAAGGAAGTTGATGCAGAAAGATCATATATTCTTGTTGAATTGCAGTAAGATGATCAATGCTAATAAGACAAGGATTGAGGGAAAAACTGTGAGTTCTCTTATGAATTGTGATAAAATGAGATATCTGTACACTGTACTTCATGGTCTCTCAAATTCCTTCAGTAAAGCTATCAAGGAAATATCCAATTATGCCCATACTCTTTTTCTAGGGACAAGGTCTGATGTCTTAATCTCATCAATCTTGGCTGCGACAATGAAATCGGTCATGCTCAAGCCTCCTGCAATTCAATGGAAAATTGTTAAATTTCAAGTGTTTTCAAAGAGATCATTTAATTCAGGCAGCAAGGAAATTCAGGAAAGAGAATATTGTGAGTGATTTTAAAGCTTACCAAGGGATTCAGTCCAAAGTTCGGCTCTAACTTGATTCTGTTCCAAGTGCACATCTGGAAAATGGCCACATGATTCTGTAACTTTGTAAATTCTATTGACAAGCTCAACACCACATTTAAAATCTCTCAACTTCCACAAGCATTGCAGTTTAAGTCCAACTTCTTCATCGAGGAGTCTCCAGCCAAGAACCTTCAGACAAATTTTTCCGTTAGGCAAAACATATTGATGCTTTCATAGATGGAAGTTAAACATGGAACTTGCAGACTTTACTTGATATGCCTGTGAAAAGGAAAAATCAATGCTGGATATGCTACCTTTGCTTGTGTCTGTCAGCATTCGAAATGAAACAGAAGCAAATGCACTGAAACACTAAAACAGCTTGATGAGAGAAAAATATAGGATTAAAAGTTTACTTCTTTTATCTGGTTCCTAATCCAGGAATGAGATAATTAAAGGAATTAAACAAAGACTAAGCAATTCAAAAATTCAAGGAACTTCACTTATTAATGCATTTCAACACGATCTAATGCCAGAGATGAGTTGCTTCTTGATAAAGATTTTTCTCTTGGAAACACACCGCTAATCAGTTTCTTGAAGTTGAGGAAAATGAAAATGTTACATAGAAGCTCTAGAAAAAGGACATCTTGTCTACTAAAACCCTACTTCAAAATCCCTGATAATTCTATTAAGAACACGACTAAAGAAGACCAACAAAGGAACCACAAGACTCGTGTTGGTATGCAGAATAAGCACTTCATTTCAGAAACAAGTCCTAAGAAAGAGAATAAAAAAGCCCACAACCTAAAATGCAGGGACAGATTGATCGAAAAGAATTGGTGATTCACAGCATCAAAGAAACAAACAAACACCTACAGTCTGTCAATTTGTCAAAATTACAAATTGTGGCACGGGATTTGCCATTTCTAAAGCTTCAAACTTTAAATCTTACAAGAAATTGATGTTTCCAGCTTTATAAGAACAAAACCAAATGAGTGCTCTTCAATTTCCCATCTTCGTTATCTACTAACGTTACAAAGTGAGCAATTTTAGCTAGTATATCAATTCCACCACCACACAAATACTAATATTTATAAGTAGATTTTGAAATTTCTCAGCAAGCATATACTCACACGGTAAATTAATCTGAACTAACTAGAAGTCTAGAACTTAAACAACATGTTGCATACAGCAAACCACATCCTTAAAGCTGAAAAGAGGGGGAAAAATCCATATGGGAACTCAAGATTCACCTTCTTTAAAAGCTTTTGAGCATCATCCTTAGACATGGGGTCTTGCAGAGGAGATATAGGAGTATACTCTTGCTGGGAAAGAGAGAGTGCGGAAACAGTAGGAATGAGAATCTTATGTTCAGTATCAACATTGCCTAACACTTTCTCAGCAAAAGCACTCTCTATTTCAGCAGGAAAAGGGTCTCTAGCACCAAATTCACCTAACTGATCCCCCACAGCTTGAATTCTCAAGGTGGGGATTCTGGTGGGAGTCAAGATGGAGACTTTGAAGTGGTGATAGTGGTTGTGTGGAGAAGAGAGCTTGGAGAGTGGGAGAGAGAAGGGTATGTGAGTGGTGGTTGTAGCGGCGGCGGCCATGGTGGTTTGCTAGACTTTTGGTGGTGATTGCGGAAGCTAAGTTCAAGAAGGTTTGTCTTGTCTTGCTGTGTTATCTGGTGGCTAGCAACTTAGCGAAGTCATGGACACGAGCTATTTCAAGGATCGTCCAGTTACCAGGGGCAGGGATGAAGTGCCACGCCATCCTGATGACGTGGGTGTCAATTTAAACTACCTGCCGGTTCGGTAAAATGGAGATGACGTCAGTTTTTGGGAGCTGAAAGGCGTTCCATGCGGATGAATGAGAAACAGGACGGGGCTAGTGAGCGGGATGAATTTATATCCAAAAATCAGTATGGTATTTTTAATTTTTCTCAAAAGAAACCCTAAATGAATTAACTCTATTAAAGTGGAGTTAGATATTTAGATTTTTTAGTATAAAAACTTTGTTCTTGAATTTCATATAGATATAAAAATATTTTAATAATTTTTTCTTTAAAAATTCTTTTTTGCAAAAGAATTTGGTAATCATACTGCAACCTCAACAAACAAATTTAATTGGCAAAGAGTGAAGAACACATATTTCTGTAATCCAAGTTTTTTTTATATTACCAATTTATCTTTCCAATCGTTCTAAGTAATTTGATTAATTATTTTATTATTATTTAATAGTACTCAACTTTAACACACAAATAAGTCCTTTAGCATAAAAGCTGGTTTGTTTTTATATTTTAAAAATATTTTTTTTATTTTTAAAAAAAATTAAAAAATAATACTTTAAAAAATAATTACAACTGCTTTCTTCCTTCCCTTCCCCCACAGCACCTGGTGTGGGGTGTCTTCCTTCCTTTCCTTCCCCCACAGCACCTGGTGTGGGGTGTGTCCACCGGCTTGGAGCTCAAAATATCTCAAATCTAACCCGATGTCCACACAATTATTAGCTCCGTGAGGAACACCAAAAATCAGCTAAAAAAATTGATTGTACAGTAGAGAGACCAGAGAGTGTCACTATTACGTGCTTAATTCGTTTGTGTAATTAAATTTCGAAGGCAGTTTTTTTATATTTATTGATTAAGGTTGAAATGGAGCAAGTGTCTTTGTCTTCATGAGAGTCCTAAACGCCATAAACCAGGACTTGCTAGATCGCTATAACGTAACATTGCACGAGTCATTATCAGAATAAATTTCATCAACCATAAAACTCTTCATCTATTCAACTTCTTGTACCATCCACCGACTGAACCAAACATACAGAGACGAGATATTCTTGATCTAAGAACTGAAGATTTTTCAAGAACATGAATGGTCTCAAAAACCATTGCACCCACATCATTGCCTTTTCCCTTTTGTTCCTCACTTCACTGTGTGGATTAATCCTCTATAATCCGGCCGCTTTCCAGTCTGACTTTCCCTACACAGTAAGCATGCCTTCCTTTCTTCGTTATTATTATTATTATTCTTTAATACTCTTTCTGTTCATCGACAATGGTCACATATATATGATGTAGACTTCGATACTGCTTTTGCTAAATGTTGTTTTTTTATCAGTATGAAGAGGGACTGATCCTAAATCTGACAGAACATTGAGCTTTATGTTGAGACTTGATTCTTAACATTTGGTGTTGATTTGTTTCGTATTGCAGAGGAATGTGAACACTAGCCAACAAGATGAGCTTGAACTGGCTTTGGCCGAGGCATCGACAGAGAACAGAACAGTGATAATTGCTATGGTAAACAAAGCCTATGTAGAGGGTGATGATAAGTCGATGCTAGATCTTTTCTTGAATGGTTTCTGGTTCGGTGAAAATACGAGAGATTTGGTTAATCATCTGTTGCTTGTTAACGTGGATCAAGCGTCCTACGAACGGTGCAAGTTTCTTCGGCTTCATTGTTACAAACTTGAAACAGATGGTGTGGAATTTGATCGCGAGGAAGTTTACATGTCCAATGAATTTATCAAGATGATGTGGAGGAGAACCTTGTTTCTTGGAGAAGTACTTGTGCGTGGCTATAACTTCATTTTTACGGTATGTTTTCCAGTACCTTTGTTTTAATTGGCAAATAGGTCATGGTCTCAATTGGAGCCTCTTTTCTAAACACAGAAAAACTAAATTGAGAATTTCTTAAAACGGGATATCAATGTAAATTGAATTGTAGTTTATAAACGTATCAGTTATCATATCTACCTTCTCGTTTCTAATCAGATTCTTACTTTTCATAAGCACTTTTCTTCCAGGATAAAAGAGCTTGGTTCTGGCAAATTGCATGCTAATTATGGCTCAATTTACATGCGGGTGTGAATTTTTCTCGATTAAGCTGACGATCAATTCTTTCTTTTACAGGATGCTGATGTATTATGGCTAAGGAACCCATTTCAGAGGCTGAGCTTCAACGAAAACATTGATCTACAAATCAGTACAGATAGTTTCAATGGTGATCAGTGGTCACATAGCAACCCAATAAACACTGGCTTTTACATGGTCAGGTCAAACAAGAAGACTGTTAAATTATTTGACTTGTGGTATTCAAGGAAAGAAGAGTCTATTGGACAAAAAGAGCAAGACGTTCTAGATGGAATGCTGCATGGAGAGGTGTTGAAAAATCTAGGCCTTAGAGTAAGATTCTTGAACACCCTCTACTTCAGTGGATTTTGCCAAGACAGCAAGGACATTAGAGCTGTCACGACTGTTCATGCAAACTGTTGTCGAACGATAAGTGCCAAGGTTGCTGACCTTTCCGCTGTTATTGATACTTGGAGGAGATTCAAGCGCTCTGCGGCTAACGAAACATTCACATTTGGAAATTTGAGCCATGCGGCTTGTGCACATTCATGGGGAAAGTGATATCGTTTTTGATGAATTATTTCGTCTAAGGTTATCATATATGCATACATATATATATATATATATATATATATATATATGTAGGCTTGTGCACATTCATGGGGAAAGTGATATCGTTTTTGATGAATTATTTCGTCTAAGGTTATCATGCATACATACATCCATATATATATATATATGTAGGAATTATCCAATTGTTGGAGAGAATATTGGAATGCATGAGTATATATTGATTATACTGCTTATTTATTGATTTTTAGGCTATCAATTTTCTTGATCCAATGGCTGGTTAAATGAATTTTTGACTTTGCACAACGGTAATAAAATCATGATGTTAATTTGCAGGTGGGAAGGCCCAAAAATTTTGGGATAACGATTGTATATTTTTCTAATCCTTAAAAAATAAATCTTGGTACTAATCTCTTGGCTGCCCTTTGGCACCGAAAAGAATTGTTCCCCCCAACTACGAAATCCTCTATTGCCTGCGCTGTGCAGCCCACAGTTTTGTTATGGGCTCCTTCGTGTAGAAAGCATCCAATCAAAAACTCGAAATGAATTATAAAAAAAAAAAAGAGGAACTTTTCCAGTTTAGATTTTTTAGATAATTTTAAGGTGAAAAAATATTTTAGTAAAATTTTTTTTATTAAATGAAATTATAAACATCAAAATTGATTATTTTAGTGGCTGAAATTAATTAATGTTAAAATCATGTTTTCTCTACCACTGAAATCTTGTAATTTTTATCTTTTCTTCCAAACTAGTGAAAATAAAAAAATAAATCTTTATATTAAAATTGAATTACAAAAAAATAAGGGACCTAATAAAGTATAATTTGAAAAATAAAGGGCTACATTGAACTTTTGGTGTGAACTCTGTACCCACCATTTATTTTTTATGCCTTTTCCACGTGATTCTCTTTCTTTCGATCTTGTTATTGGTTAAAAAATTTAAATTATTTATTTTTTAATTTGACGTTTAAAGAATGCAATCATTAAAAAAAATTGAAAAAAAATTAAATAATAAGCCCACAGTGAAAATGAACAATATTTTTTGGCACAGTGATTCCCCTACCATGCTTAGAGTACTTTCGTTAATAGTGTATGGCCAGCCTCATCATTAGACATGTCCAGTATGTGCTTCTTATCGCCTTTAATTTGCAGTATATCCATTGAATTAGACGATTTTACTTATTTTCCAAACCACAACGTCTTTGACTAAAATTAGGAAGCAAAATGTCTCTCTTAGGACAGTTTCTTAGTTTGGTAATAAATACTGTTAATAGGTATTGCAAGGGCTTAAGTGCTGGCCTAACATCTAAACCACTCTTACCAAACAAAAAGGAATGGAAGGAGGCCCGAGTTCCCCGTTTATTTAAGGCTTTTCTCTTCTTAGGTTGCCTATAATTTGAAATCTTCCATAGAATATAGCAAGATAAAATCTAGTCACACAATGAGCACAGGCAAAGTTACAGGCATGGTGGCTATCGTCATCCTTCTCCTTGTGTCCCCCGCTGCTGGTTCCAGGGACACAGGTCCAATACCAGGCGAACCATCCAGCCTGAACTCCTGGTTCCAAGCCAATGTCAAGCCCTACACACAACGTAATGGCACCCTAGACCCTGCCCTTGAAACTGCCGAAGCTAAACCGAAAACCATTATGGTCAGAAAAGATGGAAGTGGTGATTTCAAAACCCTGACCAGCGCTGTTAGAAGTATTTCGTCGGGGAATACTCAACGTGTAATCGTCGATATCGGTTCCGGAGTCTACAATGAAAAGATCCAAATTGATAAAGGAAAGCCTTTCGTTACGTTTAAAGGATCGGCTAGGAGCGTGCCAACCTTGACTTTTGCTGGCACGGCTAGGGTATACGGAACTGTTTATAGCGCCACCTTGCAAGTTGATTCTGATTATTTTGTAGCTTCTAATATCATTATTAAGGTAAGGATTGCTCAACAGAATGGTGCTCACATTTCTCTGTTTACCTTCTTTTATTTAAGGTTAATATTTTCTGTGATGTCATAAATAAAATTTTATGGAATTGTTGGGTAAGAATTCTTCGCCGAGGCCGAGTGGGAAATTGAAAGAACAGGCAGTTGCTTTGAGAATTGGTGGAGACAAGGCTGCTTTCTATAATTGCAGACTCGTGGGGTTTCAAGACACGTTGTGTGATGACAAGGGACGCCATTTTTTCAAGGATTGTTACATTGAAGGCACTGTTGATTTCATTTTCGGAAGCGGAAAGTCCCTGTACTTGGTAACCTCCAAAAATTAATTCTAATTCAAAATTAATTAGTAATAGATCCGTTTAAAATCTTGAGCATTTAAAGTTAGTTTGAAACTTATTAATTGCCAATTAAGTAATGTAGGGAACGGCGATAAATGTACTAGCAGACCAAGGATTGGCAGTGATCACTGCACAAGCAAGAAATAAAGAAGATGATACTGGATTTTCTTTTGTTCATTGCAAAGTTAATGGAATTGGCAAGGGGGCATTTTTAGGACGTGCATGGACAGAAAGACCTCGGGTGGTGTTTGCTTTCACTGCCATGAGTAGTGTGGTCGACCCTGGTGGATGGTCCGATAATCAGCACCCTGAACGAGATAGGTAAGCTAATTTCATCTTGATTTTTTTATGTTTATTTATTATTGTGGTAATAAATGATTATTTTTAAAAATATTTTTTATTTAAAAAATATATTGAAATGATATTTTTTTACTTTTTATAATTTATTTTTTACATTCACACATTAAAACTAGTTGAAAACATAAAAAAATTATTCTAAAATTAAAAAAAAATGATTTTAAAAAAACAACACCAAAAGCAATATCAATTGGGTTTCATAATATATATATATTTCTATTCACTTTTTGTAAAATCTCAAATGAGTGGATACGGCATTCCAGTAAGTTTTTGTGAATTCAATGGTTAAATTTAAAAAAAAAAAAGAATTGGGAATCTTTTTTTTTTCCTAAGATTAGTATTTTTCTTATTCTAAATATTACTTTCATTGGTTTTTTATGTAATCTTAGTGAGGTTTACTGGATAGGTAAATGGTAATTGGAATTATATAGGGAAATGTTACTCCATAATTAGGAACCGCCTCGCATGGCTTTGCATGCCTTATTTGACAAGTACATTTAATTCCTATACCAGCTACAAGTTAATTTACAATCAAAGTGCTAATTAATCCACGACTATCGTTAATTAAGGAAACAAAGTGGATTTTTAATTGAAAAAATCAATTTCGAAATGCCCTCGGTAAGAATCAAGGATGAAGTTTTCAAGAAGGTTATTTGGAGAAACGTTTCCAACAAGATTAGCATTATTCATTTTAAAATGGATTAGGAATATTTTACATTTGATTATAAACCTGCGAAGTGAAATGTTTTTTCGAGGAATATCAAATAATTAACGTTGGTGAGAGGAGAACTCTGGCCTTACCAATCTTATGAATTAATAAGTTATATATTATGCTTGCTTCGTGCGCAGGATTGTTTCATTTGGAGAATACAAGTGCAAGGGGCCAGGATCTAACCCAAGTGGCCGTGTTAAATTCAGCAAGCAGCTAACCCCCCAGCAAGTGAACCCCTTCCTCTCCCTTGCTTATATCGAAGGTTCCAAATGGCTGCTCCCTCCTCCAAATTAAGGTGGCAGAGTGTTTATTTCTAATTAGAGCATAGAGGATATTTAAATATTCATGAAAATAATAATAACACGTATATAGAGAACTTATTAAGTATAACAGGCCAGATCAAGAGGCAAGAGATATAGGATAGTGTGCTCGTAGCAACTGAAATATTATGGAATAGCAGAGAAACCGGAAGAAAAAAGATCGGATTCTATTATTGATCCAAGTACAGTTTTCTCACTAGCCATGAAAAGTTATTAATTTATTATATGATTTTATGTGTTTCCATTAATTAATAAAGCATGGTTTAGAGCTTTCTCGGGGGGGGGGGGGGGGG